TCTGCAAGGGTTAAGTGCTCGTTTTGGTCTTGGGTTTTCATTAAAAATATATACTGTACTTATCTTTTTGGTTTAAAAATAAATAAATATATATATATATATATGTATATATATATATACACACACACACACACACACACACACACACACACACACACACACTTATCTGATCCTCAGTCTTGCCCGACTGCTAGACTGGTCCCTTTAGCCTCTTTTCCCCTGGGCTCCGGCGGTCTAATGACCCATGAGTCATCACATCACATATAATACAGTGTATTAGACGTGAGGATTCCAAGGGACATTCCATCACTGGGGTGTAGGAGGAGAGAGGTGAGTGGTCTCTGCCACAGGATCAAGGCTTGGGTGAGTATTTCATCTTTATTCGGTCCACTAGAAAAAACGAGCAGTTAACTCTTAGTGTGGGGGTAGCCCCACTGCAAGGGCTGATTTTTAATCTGCCCAGAGTTCTTTTTTAAATTGGTCCTAGTTTGTGTCTATGTATGCATGTGAGATAGGGACCTTGGAGTGTAAGCTCAGACAGGGACTGAAGTGCTACTTAAAAGACAACTATGGGGTAACCTTTTTATGCCGTAGTTCTCTTTAGGGTTACAGGAGGACATATATTAACATTCTCCCATGACCCAAAGCTCAGTATATAGTGGGCTATTGCCGCTATATGCTGAGAGCGCTGCAGCCGGGACGGATCTTGACAATACTGTCGATCTACCCAGTTGTGTGAGTGACAGCTGACTCTGCCCATCTTGAGGCTGATTGACAGCAGGCTCTGCCTATCTAGAGGCAGAGCCAGCTGTTCCCGCCCCCTCCTGTTTGTCCCTCCAGTCAGCGCTGCAGGATGGGAGAGGGGAATCCCTGCGGGGAGGGGGGAATCCCTGCGGGGGAGCGGTGACTGACAGTCACTGCTCTCTGCAGGGAGATGATCAGGAAGTAAAGGTGCCCGCGATCCTACGATAATCGGCAGGTGTATGGAAGGCGTCCGACCGTTTCTACTGTATGGTCGCACGTCTTTTGTCTTACGAGCAGGCTCGAAAACCCGCCGAGAATCGTATGATTGTCGGCTGGTTGGTGGCCTGCTCGTAAGACAAATGCTGCACGGGCCGGTGTGCGCACAGTGTCCATTCAGCATTGCAGTCATCGGAGGCCCGTCCCTCAGGGGGGCGGGCTTGCGATGATCGCAAGTACAATTTGCCTGTCCAAGATGGGCAGATCGTACGTTTTTTTTAATTACCTTACAACCATCGCAAGACAAAAGTCTTGTGATGGTTGTAAGGTGTATGGGCACCTTTAGAGAGTGACGGTATGCATTCGCTCACTTCCCGATCAAGTTTCATTGCCACACAACAGCTCTAACTATGAGGTTGAGTGGAAGTCAATCACCTCAGTTCCTCTTTAAATCATCACCTGTAATAATAAATAAGAATGTCAGTTCTTTGTGCCTTCTGTGCCTAGGGAAAACCTTAAAGCTGGGTTACACTATTCAGACAGAGTAAATGTCAGTGTGTGCAGCATATACAAATATAATTTAGGTAAATAATAGAGGCTGTACTGTGTATTCTATTCTTGAAAACGTAAAACAATGTTAGAAAAAAAACATAAAACTCCCCAAATAAACATACAACAAGGATTAATATATCATAACAAATGGTGAACAAAAACGTAGGAAGCCCTGCCAAGGAAAACCTACAATCTATATATTATAGTGTAAAGAGAGGGGGGAAAAAAGAGTTTCCGGTAACCCATGGCAACCAGAATTTCTATATCAGCATTTTAGCTTGGGCACAGTGAGGGGAATAGATGAAAACAGGAGCAGACTGAATCTGGAGCAGTCGTCCAGCTTCTCTTTCATTTTCAAAGCTTAACTGAACAAACTGAAGACAGAAGCTGATTGGTTACTATGGACAACTGTACCATTTTCTGTCTGCTCCAGTTTTGATCAATACCCCCCACTGTTGAGTAGTCTGACAGCTTTATATAAAGGCCAATCTATCCGTGATCTACCATGTGACGGAACACTACGATAGTTCTACAATAAGGCAGTGCAATGAAAACTGGTAATATTTAAGTGCATTAACCTATAGCAACCAATAATATACATAAGAGTTCTGTTTATTGTGGTTAAAGTCTTATAACAGTCTGGTTGGTTGTCTGACTGTATTTTGCATAGTACCAATGGTTACTTACACAGTAAGCTTAATATATCAGCCCCTGTTCACACGGTTTGCAATGAAATGTAACTCATTTAAGTTTTATTGGATCACGTTATCATTAAACAAGGTAAAAATGATTAACGCCTACAATATCTCTTTATTTTTGGTGAACGAGTCCCAGTGGATGCTGCCTAGTGGGAATTACAGTATTTGTAAAGATTTCTTTCCACACGCCAGTGCAACCTGCCTAATATTTCTCTTCTTCTTTCTCTTACAGTAGGCCTAAGGGTGCATCAAAAGAGCCCAATGCTGCCTTTGATGCGATGGGCTGGCTTTTACAGGAACCCCCTAGGGAACAATAGTAAATGTTTTCTGACATCAGAACTTGGCATCACAACTAAAGCTGGCCATGCACCAGTAATAGTTAGTTGGAAAAATGTGTTTGGTTTTCTAATAGTTAATGGGGTCAAATCGGTGACAGTTTTCCCCAAAAAATTGAAGGAGCAAGATGGAATTTGTTTTTTTTTTCTCGAATTAACGAAATTCTAACAGTGAATGTGATTTTTGTGCAGGAAACTCCATTCATTTGAAAACTGAATGTCGAAACCAAGCAAATTTCAAACATCATTCGTCAAGTCTCTGATGGCTTTATCCAATGTTCTGACGAGATTTTCCGCATGAAAATCTACCAGTGTATGGCCGGCTTAATTTTTTAGGAAAATCTCTGTGTAAAGTAGCTGATCCTTCACTCTTAACTTCACAGCATGGGTGCTGCCATCTGTGAAAAACAACCGACACTCTGGGGTCTATTTATAAATGTTCTCACATACCTTTCACCCAGTAGAATGCAAGCAGAAAATGTATGAATCTTGGATGAATGTTGTGTGAAAAATGTATAAATAGACCCTGATTCTGCAGGTCATACCACGTAACACATCCAATACAGCACATTTTGGTGCCAGGAGATTGCCCATGGTATAAAATGATGCCATACCCTCACACTAACTCCCCTTGTAAACCTAATCCTCACCCTCCATATGACCCTAACCCTACTGTACAAAGTTTGAACTGTCCAAAATTAGTTCAGCGGGTGGCTCTGTTGGCACCCTTCTGTCCAGTATCCTTTGATCAGAAAATGAAAAGAGCCAATCAGCTGCCATCCCTGTTTGGGTATTATGACAGCAGCATACCTGCCACTGTCAGAATACAAAGAACACAGTTGAAGATTTGTCCATCCAAGCTGTTTAGCGTGGATGGGGGAAACCGTCATATATTTTTTTTTGTCCAGCCCGCAGGTTGAATGAAAAATATAACAGTGTATGGCCAGCTTTACATGAGTCCTCCCTAATGTAAACTTCTTGTTTACATAGTTATTCCTCCTGCATTGGGCTCCACTGTGCCAAAGACTAACCTTCCAGTGCCCAAAGATACCGTCATCCTATCCACTGAGTGCTAAAGCCATATATGTATTCATAAACCTGGCGATTACTGGTTTTCCCTAATAATTATCTACGATAAAGTATAAAACATGGAAAATGTGTAGCCAATTAGGCTATTGACACGTGTTCTCATCGCTCTACTGGCTACTTGGCATATAGAATGTAGGATTACAGAATGATAATGGTTTCTATGAATATTTCACAACATGGGCATCTAAATTTATCCTTTTTTTTTGATTATTTTAACTTGAAACAAAGTTTTTTCTAATGATCCCTATAACCAGATATATCTACTGAGCGTTATACATTCCATCATGGAAGACTGTCATGTGACACCAACCTATTCTCCAGATAGGTGTGATGAGCTCCCAGCATTTGCTTATGGCCTTGACATGACAGACATCCAAGTACAGTCATTCATTTTGCTGAATGATCTATTCAAGATGTATGTGTGTTTGTGTGTGTCAAACGATTATACATTATACCACACATATTTAAAGAAAATGTTCTACTTCTTGACACTCTTCATAAAAAAAAAAAAAAAAAAACTTGGCTCACCAACCTTTAAAATTAAACACTAAAAAAACACTCTTAAAAAAAAAAAAAAAAAAAAAACTGGCCACCAACCATATAATATTACAAGCTAAACAACTATATCTAGACTGATTGAGGCCATGCAGTAAGTACCAATATTATATAAGTATGTTAGACAAAAATAAGGAATTTGACAGATAAAGTATAGAACTCCTGATACTGCACTCTTCATTGTTGACATTCCATTGTATACAATCACTGAACCTTTAATGCTTGCATCTAACAATTATTCTAAAGAAAGTGTCCATACACACGATAGATAAATAGATAGATAAATAGATAGATAGATAAATAATATAAGAAAGTGTGGATACACATGATCAATAATGAGATAGATAATGTATTAATGATAATATAATAAAGTGTGGATACACATGATCAATAATGAGATAGATAATGTATTAATGATAATATAAGAAAGTGTGGATACACATGATTATTCCATAGACAGATAATATGTTGGTGCAATGTAAATGAATACCTATGCTATAATATAACTACATGCATTTGAATAAACCTTCATTGTTATTTAAAACTGCTTGCGAATATACATAATAATAGTAACAGAACTGACCGTAGACTCTATATGTGTACCTTTCATATGTAAAGCAAACGCCATATGAGGCTTTCCATCTACAATATCAATTGCTTGAAGAGCTTGCAATCTGATCATTAAACGCATACACATAATTGGATGGAATGAATGATTTTCACAGTATCATCAACGTATATGTAGTAATGATGTGTTAATCCTGTTACTGTTTCCCAGATTCCCATCAGACCGGTTATTGTTTTAACTCACCAGCTGCAGGCAGCAGATCCCAACCAAGGTACATCTCCCAGTGCATTTGCCCATAGTGGATGGATTTGGATCCTACAATAGCAGGCTTTGGTGGAGGCAATCCTGATATAAGGGAAATCCTTCCAAATGTCAGCTCCTCAGCCTAGCGTATTGTGCATTTTCCTTGGCAAGAAAAGGCCTGCTAGGCTACAGGACCATGTTTAGAAATGCCACCCTACAAATCTACATGCTATATGGAAGAGGAGGAGCGTTCAACCTTATGTCCTCTTTGTGTTGGTCTATTGTGTGTTTTGTGTATGAGAAGGGGGGAGGATAGGAGTGGCAGGGAGAGAGGACAAGCCACACACACCCACCCACCCTACAAGGATTCACCCAGCCCTCCTCTTCTGTAGTAAGTCTTAGTAACATGCTATTCACTCCTTCCTGGCCAGACCCTGGGTGTGGAGAGAGGAGGAGGTAAATGAGAGAGGGGGCTCACACTCACCACTTGCCACCCCTTTTTTTTTTTATATACACCAGAGAATGACTGCCAGATGCAAAATCTCTTTTGTTACATTGCAGGAGAAAAGCGGATATATTCCGTGTGCTGGATGCAGCATCAAACAAGCCCTGCATACTGGTCCATCTTCACCCCTCTCTCATCTTTACTCAGCATCCAAAATGTATATCACAATCCCATTTCGTATGCAGTTTTCTGGGTATCAATGCCA